TCTACTACTACCTATTTAACGCCGTCTCAGCCATTATATGTTACATTTAAATTTTATGTTTCACATCGTGTTCTAGATACAATCAGTTTCCTCAACAACAAATAATAATAATACAAATGCAATGTTTATTTGAAAAACAGAAGATGAATTACGTGTTTCAAACATACATTCGTTATTCTTGTGGCTTAATCAAACCTCTCTTGCCATTAGATTTTAAGTTTGTACGATATTTTTAACAAGGATATTGTGACGTACCTTAAAAGCTTTTCGAAGACATGTGGCTCGACATCCTCTACAGTCAGGGTAAGAACACGATCCCAATTAGTAACTTCGCAAATAAGCAGTGATTGAAAGGCTGGTGAAGCATCACGAAGGATAAAGGAGTGACACGGGAAACGCCAAATATTTTCTCCCTTACCCACCATAAATATAACATCATGTTGTTCTTCGCTGTTGTACAGTACTTGGCCTGGGGTCGGGGCTGTGGGTAATGCAGAATCGTCAGTCTGAATCTTCGTTATGTCTGACGGCTTTACGGAAGACGTTGAAAAATGCCGGCTTTTTCGCAGCAGATTGAAATGGGAGCTACGGCCCAACTGTTGGGAAGAAACAGAATGGGTTACCGTGAAATTACTTTCCATAAAAGTCACACAAGACATACAGTTAAACAACATTCCTATTTCAGAAGACTCCTAGCAAGTGGTTTTGGTAGGCATTAATTAATTGAGAGATACGACTAACAATAAATTTACCATGAAAATATAAGTCCACTAAGAAATTTATATAAAAATAAAAAGTGTCCCTTGGTGGGACAGCGGTAAGTTTACGGGCTTACAATGCTGAAATCCGAGGTTTGATTATCTGCAGTGGACACAACAATTAGCTCAATGTGGCTTTGCTCTAAAACAAACAAGCAAACAAACATGATTCTATTGAAAATAAAAGGCAGTCATTGTTAATATAAGTTAATTGCTGTTTGCTTGGACGTTTTAACAAATTAATTAAAATACATTACGTACGTTTCGAGTAAAAGATAAATACCCTTAATCGTAAAATAAAAACATGTCAAAAAGTGTATTTCATACTAAACATAATTATCGAAAACAATTCTTAGTCATAAAAAAGAACTTGGGGTTATTTTAAGTTTGAATTGGGGGATAAAGATTTTACAAGTTTCAATATGTAGTTTTTCACAATCACTATATTAACTAAAAAGAAATACTCAGAATAATGGGGCGTTTACAAAAAGTTTAAGGACGTTGTTGTGATTCACTGTTATGAAAGTTGAGGTTCTTTGTTGAGCGGAATATCAGAGAAGTCGATTTTTAAGACACTATAAAACAGGTACCTGTCACAGATTGGTAGCTTCTATACGTTTTATAGCTCTCTAAAACAGACAGAAAAATAATAACTGTAGTTTGTAGCTTAGAAAAGATTAAGAAATTAGTAAGAAGGTTCAATATTTTCGTATTAAAACAAATAGATCTTGGATTCTTGAAACATCATTGACTTAAACCAATTTTCGAAAACTTCTGTTCCAAATTAGTAACCCTGGACCAAATAGGAAAGAAAAAGACCAATCAATGGGTGGTATGTTGTTAGTATGTTTGTTTGTTTGTTTTGAATTTCTCGTAAAACTATACGAGGGATATCTGCGCTAGCTGTCCCTAATTTAGCACTGTAAAACTAGAGGGAAGGCAACTAGTCATCACCACTCACCGCCGACTCTTGGGCTACTCTTTTTACCAACGAATAGTGGGATTGATCGTGACATTATAACGCCCCACGGCTGAAAGGGCGAGCATGTTTGGTGATACGGGGATTCGAACCCGCGACCCACAGATTGCGAGTCGAGCGCCCTACCACCTGGCCATGCAGGGCCGTTAGTATGTTTACATGATCCTTACTCACCTCAAAGTAATCAACATTAAAGGCCATGTTTGAAGAATTAAATTTTCGTTCAGAGAATGTTTACTTTAGAAGTTGAGGGTACTGTTTTCATGACTTGCACAATTACCCCGTGCTTGTACGTAATATCGCTACTTCCGTATTAAATGAAGCGGATGTGAGCATAGTTAACAGTAAATTCTACTTTTTCTTCCTTGTTCAGCAAAGTAACAGTCTGAAACGTGGAGCACACAATTACAACTGTAATAATCTGAATTATAAACATGCTGCGAGTGGTCTATACTTATATCAGTCATTGGCTCACTTAAATAAGTCTGTTTAGCTTATAGTTATTTTCACATTAAAACCAATAAAAATAACTTTAACAAAAATCATTACTTCTTCAGTGTTTTTGTAGTATAATATGAAACTTTATTATCACGACATGTGAACTCATCCTGCCAACAAAAACAATATACGTTAAGCTCGAAACGCACAACTCCAGTGTTTCGTTTATCTTGACTCATAACATAATTAGCATACATGTAGTTAGGGCACCTGTCCTGCGTCCAAAGGAAGCTGCCTCAGTGGGGGTCGCCAGATGAGATGAGATCAAAGGATTCTGCCTGGAGGTTACATAATTATGATGTAATAAGCAAATTATGCCGACTGTTACGTAATAAACAACGGATGCCAATGCCTGAGTGTGACATATCTGTTATGTAATAGGCACCAAAAGGCAATGACGTCCACGATATGACACCAGAGGGTGATGCAGCTCAATGTGTCTCAACATTTCATCATCTTTATAGTAACAATAATAGCCTTAAATTAATATTTTATCTAATATGTATAACATTATTTTTACAATTATCACTACCGAAAATTTTTATCACAGTTACAGTTTCGTTTTATAAGTAAAACATTAAATTAGTTATTTTAATGTCTAGTTTTTATCAAATGTATTCTTTTTTTAATTGTATACTTTTTACAAAGGCGGATGGTGTTTCTATAGTGTCACTATATTTCTGAAGGATTGCATATAGATTTTAACTTGTCTCAATATTATATTTATAGTTTTCATTTACGTATTTAATTGTAGTACATGTGTTTTACAAAGTAATATGGTGTTTCTAGGTGGATGGCATTAATTGGCAAATTGTGTTAGCAATGTTAGTACTGGAGCGGATAGTGTTTATATAAACGGATAGTTCAGTAGGATGACGATATCATCGTAGGGTGTCTCAATGTGTCCCGACATGTGATTACGTCATCAACACTGTAATTTAGTGCATTACGTATGCCAGTTTTTATCACACATACTATCTTAATTCATCCATTATTTAAACAAGGCAAATATTAGAGCTTAGTCAGTAATTTATTTTACATGCTATTACAGTTATCTGTCCTGATATAATACCTAATGGTTCTTTTTTATAATTATTGAATGAGACCGTTACATTACTATTCTAAAGCCTATTGTATGTTTTATGATTTAAGAACAGTTAATGTACTGTAGTATATTTTTCGCTTCTATACCTAGTTAGATTAACATACATTTTACATTTATAGTCCTGTAAAGGACGGATTTTACATTATAACAAAATTGTTATAAATGATGTCTAATAAATGTCTAAATAATATACAATAATCTAATATACAAGCTTCCTGTTTCACTAGTTATTTGGCTTTATGTTGGCCACCCCTCTGATGCCACTTCGTGGACATCATCGCCCTCGGGTGCCTATTATGAAACAGCTATGTAACCCTCAGGCAGTTGCATCCTTTGTATGTTATGTAATTTAACCCTCAGGTATCGGCATAATTTGCCTATTACGCAATACTCGGGTGGCATTCTTTGTATATTACATAATACTTGCATAATCCCAGGCAGCGACATCCTTTGGGCACAGGACAAGCCTATAGCTATTCATACATCTTTTAACCTTAATGTACTTTTACAGAAAATCCACTGTCTATAGAAATCACGTTTGGTTTACCTCTACCTTACTGAATATTTTACAAAGAACCGTCTGGTAGCAACGGAATAATACAGACACATTATTTAGAGAATAAATGTTGTTGTTTTTTTGTAAAGCACAAAGATGCACAATGAGCTATCTGTGGTCTGCCCACGGCCGGTATCAAAACCTTATTTTTAGCGCTATAAGCCCACTGACTTACCAGAATAATATAAATGAGCTTTCATATATACGTAATGTATACAAAGTAAATAGGAAAAAAACAGAGTATGTGATAAATATCATCACTGTAGCCCCTCCAATGGCTCAGCGGTAAGTTTGCAGGTTCACGACGCTAAAAATCAAGTTTCGATACCTGTGGAGGGGAGAGTACAGATTTTCTATTGTGTACATTTGTTATTAATAACATCCAAACTAAACTTGTACCTGTAATCATGCTAAAGTTTGTAACATAAGAAATATGAAACTAAATAATTTTTCAAAAATTGCAATTCAAAATACTTTCTGTCATGTCAAGATTACAAATTCGAAGTATGTTATAATTAAAATATAAAACTTATGGGAGAAAAATGTTCGATTAGACCAAAAAAGTGAAAGGGAGGAATGGAAGATCTCAAAATGTAATAACTATATAGAAAAACTGTCCTTTACAAATAATTACTATCTTACATTTCTAAACAGAAAAAATAATTCAACTTGATCCTCTTTAGAATAATAGGGGAATTAAATTAGTCAATTCCCCTAGCCTAGTATCATATAGCTGTGATTTAGACCAGGCACACGTTGTCTGGTAACCTTACGGACCTCTATAATTATCTGTGTTGAAAATAGTGTTATATTAGTTCAAAAGAAGGGTAAATGCTATAAAAATACTGTATATATAGTATGTTTGTTTGTAGTTAAGCAAAAAGCTACCCACCACGGTTATCGAAACCCGGTTTCTAGCGTTGTAAGTCTGCAGACATACCGCTTTACGGTATATATTATGACCTTACTTGTTTTCTGTTTATTATAAATTTATACTTGGAGCAGACAAAACTGGTGGTACACTTTACTTTATCATATCATATAAGTGTTTTGATCATCATTAGAAATACAGACTAAAATACATAAGCTGTCTTGTAAGTTTATACAATAAGCCAATTATAGTCGCACATTGATATAAAATTATGTATCTAAATAGGGTTGAGTGAATATATTAAAACATTTTTACATATACAAATCAGCAAGTCACTTGGTAAACATAGCCGATATAACGTCGCAATGGAACGGTATGTATCAGAACTTCATTTTGACATTGTTTGGCGTTCGTAATTAGTATGATAACATCAAATATTTATCTTTTTGGGGAATGGTATGTAACAGCTCTTTCCAACACAAAATATTTATGCACTCAGATCATAAAGATGTGTTCAGAGATATTTCTTGTACTCATTGGAATTGGAAAACAAAATAATATGGATCAACTCAAGGGCCCGGCATGGCAATCTGAAGGTCGTGGGTTCAAAGTCCCGTCCAACCAAAGATGCTCGCCCTTTCAGCCGTGGGGGCGTTATGATGTGAAGGTCAATCCCACTATTCGTTGGTAAAAGAGTAGCCCAAGTGTTGGCGGTGGGTGGTGATAACTAGCTGCCTTCCCTCTAGTCTTTCACTTCTAAATTAGGGACGGCTAGCGCAGATAGCCCTCGTGCAGCTTTGCGCGAAATTCAAACCAAACAAACAATCAA